ATTTATGATTTTTGCACCCGCCGCGGTTGCGAACCTTTAGTGCCTACGTACCACCTTTCGTGAAATAGGGGATCGGGTACACATAGTTCCTCTTTTAAAAATTTTGAAACAAAAACCACAAGTGTGTTGGTTAATCTTATGAGATAAGACGTCATCGTCATTGTCCGTGTGGAAAACATACTTACTACCCACAATCATGAGAAAGGAGAATTTGCTTCATCTAAAAGTGGAGGATATGGCTTGGATTTTAAAATCAACAAAACCTCACTCAACACCCAAGTGGAAAATATCTCTCTTCACTACATATTATAGAAGTATAGTTGTTTGCATCACTACAAGGATTGACAAGAGTCCAATCTTTTGAGAAAAGTTTTAAAGCAAAAGCCAAAGTGGCAAAATGGTTTAAATGTGATTGATTGACTTTTAGTCTTCTCACAAAAGATGTCCAAGTATGGTTAGATTGATTAATGTTTGATTAAGAAAATATTTTAAAAATGCATGGACCTAAGTCCAAGTTTATTATGAAAGTGGTTCAAGTTTAGAAACAAGAAGATTTTTTTCAAAAAAGGGGGAAGAATATTTTTGAAATTAAAGAAAATGGAAGGAGATGAAGAGACTATCCTAAATCATAAGGTAAAAGCTAGGGAAAAGAACCGTCTAACCAACAAGAAACTAGCATTTGACATATTGAGTCAATGAAGAATTCCATCCTTTGGATTTGAGACCAATCAAACAACTAATAAATCTTTGAAGAATACCAAGGTCTAATTGCATTAAGTATTCATAAAAATTAGGCCGAGTAACAGCTATATACAGATGAATTCCAGATTACTGACAAAACATGTTATCACAATAACCTGCACACAAAACAAACAAATAACCCAATGTCTTGGGGTAAACCCCAAGAACACCAGACAAAATAACAATCAAGGTCACAAGGTCTTCAACATAGGTCAATGTCTCTACTCCTAAGTCCAAGAAGTCCATAACTCCACAATGCCAAGGATACTAACCAAGTAGTCCAAGTACCATTAAAGTTTTTTTATTATTCAAGTTGATTATTAGGTATCTTCATAAAAGAAATAAGAATCTCAAGTGAGCAAAAATAAACAAGACATAAAAGATAAAGGCTCAAGTGAGCAAAGATGAAAATAACATGAAATGTAAATGCCAAAGTAAACAATTCATAAAGTAAAAGCATAAAATAAAGTTAATTGTTAGAGGTTAATGGTTAGTTGGATAACCATCTTGAAACTTGCATTTGGAACTGGTTAGAGGATTGGTAGAACCAAAGCCTCTCAACAACAAGTTGCATTTGCTTTTTTTCAAGTATATGATCCATTTAAGAATCTCAAAGTAACACCTAATGATCAATGATGTTTAAGTGATCCACTTTGACCAAAACTTATGTAGTTCCATTAGAGGATTGATAGAACCAAGGCCTCCTAACAATGGATCTCAAAGTTATTGGATCAAAGGATTTAAATTAACGTACTTGGGCTTGCAAACATTGGTTTGGGCCACGAATGATCATTTTCTCAAATCGGGACAAAATTTAGCGCTATGTTAAGCAATCGTAAGTGAACTTATGTAGAAGTCGCACCTATTTTGAGGCCAGTCAATAGCAATCTATGTACTTCATGTTTGGATTAATGATATAGAAAGCATCATCCCATAACACGTAATATAATAAGAAGTGGGTAAGATGAAGAGGAATGGGGAAAATGAACAACCCACATTTGAACCAAATTTTCTATTAAACTATTATTAAAATCATTCATCCGTTTTTATGGAGTTAGACTCAACACCATGGATCCAATGATGTTAACAAAGTTCATGATCAAAATTTCAACATAAGATCAGCCAGAAAATATGCAAAAATAGAATTTTATTAAAAATAAAAGAATAAGGATTTTAAAATGATTATAATATGGAAATAATAGTGGGAAAATAGCAACTATGTTCAAATTAATCAAGAAAAATTAAGTAAGGCCATATAAAAATCAGAAATGAACTCAAATGTTTTTATAAAATTTTTGGTAATTTTTTAAAGTCAGAAACAATTTTTAGAATTAAAAGAAATAGGTAAAATAAATCAAAAATGATAAAAAATAACAAATTCAGAAATAAAAAATAAATGAGATCACCAATATTTGTCAAAATGTCATTGGATCCTTCCCTATTTTTTTTCTGAATTTAAAAATGAATAAAAGTATTTTTAAACATTTAAAACAAATCAAAAAAAGTGAATAATTCTAAAAAATATCAAAACACAAAATAAATTTTTTCAGATATTTCATAATAAATATTTCATAATTTTTTCAGATATTTTGGAGTTAAAATGAATTTTATATGAATTTTTGAAATTTAAAACAGTTAAATATAAAAATCAGAAATAAAAAATAAAGTCAAAATATGTGGACCATTATATTAGAGTCAAAACACGTTAGTAATCAAATCCAAGGGATCTGGTGCATTGTGCATATCATGGTCATTACTGAATAAAGCACATGATTCAATATAAAATCAGAAATTCAAAAGTTCCAAATGGCGTTGTTTCATTGGTTGAAAGATGACACGTTGTCATCTTCAACCTTCATCCAGTCTCAAAACCAGATTGCTCAAACTGTAAAATTAGAGCACGAGACCGGTACCATTCGCTTCGTTTCATCAAGGCGAAGACAACCACACCTTTGCGAAAAATTTATGTAAACTGTAGCTCCAAATATTTGGAAGAGAAGTTTTGAAAAGGTATTTGAAATTTCATGGTCAAAATGTGTTTCCAGTTAAAAGCAAGTGTTGCGACTAGAACCAGGATGACAAGAGTTTCACAATAGTATCAAAATTTGAGAGAATTGATGGAGGAATCTACCTATTGAAGTTAAGTTGCAGATCTCTGAAACTGGACTTGGCTAGCACGATTCAGGGATTTTTAGAGCTTGATTCTTCTTCTGTTAGCTTCAATTAGGTTTAGGGAAGGTGAATTGATAAAGAAAATGGATTAAAGAAAGTTATAACATTGATTTCAAAGTTGAAGAAAAGTGTGCTATAGAGAGAGTTTGGCAGAGTGGTTTTGGTTGTTCAAGCTTGCCAAATATGAGTGAGATAGAGTCTGTATTTATAGAAGAAGTGAATGGGATCAAGAGGAGGATGGATGATGCAATTTGGAGGAAATTTGTGCACACTTGTGATCATGAAGAAAGTGTGATCACATGTGCATCAAAACTCATCCAAATGATGTGTTTTGAGGTGCTAAACACTTCTGGTAAGTTTGTTAATCAAGTTTAAATCAAAAACACACACAAATCATGTGATTAGAGGCCATGTTATGGATTTCAAAATTCTGACTTGATGAGAAATTCAGTTTCAAGTTACCAATCTCAAAACAATGGCATTTTAAACTCAAGGGGTCTTAGGGCATGATTCTTGAAGCTTTAGAAAGATGAGGTTACAAGCTTTATAATATGTAAAGAATGGCATCAAATGGGTGTTTGAGATGAAAGTTAAAATGAGTCAAAGTTGAGAAAAAGAGCTTGACTTTCTATACTTCAAAAATTTCTAAGTTTTTCTTCAAAAATGACTTATAATGTCTTGCATCCAAACATGGCCTTCAAATTGGAATTTTCTCTTTACCAAAAAAGACGGCATGAAACATAAGCAACATGCTTTAAAACAACAATACATGTTCCGACACGAAATATGAATCTATTGACACATAGACTGAATGTGTCAACACATATACATCATGTATAAACAGATAGACCTGTTTTTTCAGCATGTGTTAACACATATACATGTTTTATGTGTAGAAACTGATTCTTATTGCATGATACCTGTTGGCAATCTTCTCAAACATGTCGTAGATGCATCCTAAGATCCTTAATATAAGGATGCACATAATGACTTAGAGAAAATGGTCAATGTACATAAAAGCTAACTTTATCCTAGTTTTAACATCATGAAAAACATATAAAAGACAAATGCATTCATAAAAACGATTTCTAATTATGGGAGGGCATTTGAGATAATTTTATAGATATCATACATGCCTATATTTAATGTAGTAATTTGGATTGTATACGACATTAGTAAATTTTTCTTTTATATACAAAATCAAAGAATGATTATAGTACAATAAAAAATAGTTGGATTATGGATGATACTGAATCCATGTATTTCTCTAGTTGAAAAAATAATAATATTATAATTGCATCAACATTATACTTTAGGGTCATTGAGGAGACTTGGAAAATTGATTATGTTGTATTCAAAGTGATTTTATTTAAATGAAAGTGGATTGACAGTAACACTAGTATATAAACTCATCAGTTAGGATTCAAACGAGTTGATGTTTGTAAGAAAGCTTATATGAACGAACCATTCATTATGACATCCTAAGAAAAAGAAGTGCTTTATGTCAGTGACCCTTATAACATTAGATGATCAATTGTTCTCCAAAAAATCCATATTCCTCGTAGTAACAAAAATCAAAATTTAAATATTAATATTTGTGAGACATCTTCTTTCCCAACACATATACCTACTATAAAACTGTTGATAATGATGATTTACCTACTATAAATCTGTTGATAATGATGATTTGCATGATATTTATTGAATATTTAGAATTAGTAAATTTTATTTTCTTTGAGCTGCAGCCCCCTCCAAACATGATGTTTAATTGTTTATCACTTAACTTGTATCATATTGTTTCACCCATTATTTCGATTACTGATCAAACAAAATTTCACTCTTTAATATGAGAGAACACCTTGATCAGCTTTTGATCCTAACAACAAACAAGTTAACCTTGTAATTTATCAACAACCAGATATCAATATCTTCTTATATATGTTTGGCATGTTGGACTAAGATATCAATCTAGGGGATTCATTTACTACTAAAAAACATATGTAAAAATAAGCAAAGATAGACAAAATTATTTTTTTACAATTTCAATTACTGTATACTTCCAATTTAAAACTAGAAAAACTTGTTATCTACTCCGAAGCTTCAACATGCATGTAGAATGTTATATTAGCTTTCATCATCATTGTTTTTGCAAATTGTTTCGGTTCTTCTTTTCCCGTCCTTTCTCCAATCTCTAAATAGAACTTCAATATGTTCTTGACCAATGTTTCATCAATAATCTCTCCAACAAATTTTCGATCAATCTGAACACAAGAAAAGAGAATAAAAAAAATCCATAACATGGAAAGTTAAAGTAAATAAATAGATTATAAATAACGGAGAATGGAAAACAAAGGAGAATACCATTGATACTATTGCTTCCATAACTTGTCTATTCAATCTATCGTAAACCTGAGATAAATAAAATGCAGTAAACTCAATTAAAAAACGGAAAGTAAAATAAAATTTAATGTAACATTTCAAAGGAATCTCATGACAAACCAAGTTATAGAAAGATAAGAAGCTAGTTTCTGGAAGAGAAGGAAGACGACGATATGAGAGAATATCTGATTCAAGATACAGAAAAAACTTTGAGAGCTGAATGGTCATAGTTTTATGATTTGACCATCTTCTAAGCAATTCTCTTAACAACAGTTCATCTTTCTTTTCTTGCAAAGATGGCAAAACCTAGCGATAACAAAATCATACTACGTATTAGTTTTAATCGTATTGTGAATACTAAAAGATGTTAATATAGCAACGTTTTCTTTCTCACCGTTGAGGTGATGTACTCATGAATCACTTCCGTGTAGTTTTCACACAGTTGTTCGCTATAGTTATGATGATTTACGGTGCATATATTATAGATGTTTCTGCATTGAAATATAAGAAATATATAATCAAAAGAGTTAAACCTAAAAAGAGAAGAAGCAAAAACTAGGAATTGAAAGGTACGTGTATAGCATTATGTAATCCTCAGAACTGAGGTGAGTATCGGGCAAGCCTTCTAGATTGTCCTGGAGCTGCTTGATGCGCTTGTGCACAAAACTCCATCCTTCTTCAAAGTCGATTATCGGCGCATCAAAGAGTGACATGTTGAAGTGAAACGTATACCTATCTTTGGTTATTGTTAGGGTTTAATAGGAGATTATATCATATCTATTTTACAGTTAAATCCCTAAAACATAGCATATAAATCAGGGAGCCGCCACTCCAAAAGATATAAATTAAGAATTCTCTCCAATCATATTTAATTAAGAATTGTGGTGACATCTATAAAATTAGATATCATTATTTTTATTTACTTTTTGAGTCATGATTGTCAATTGTTATTAGGAATGAATCAAATGGAGATTTCTTTTCCCTAAAAAATAAACTACATTTTAGAGTAAAGAAAAACTATATATTTTTTATTTTTTATTTAATTTAATATGATAATCATTTAATTTATTTCTATTTACGGTTGAGATTTGAAGTACGAATTTTAGATTTATATTTGGTGTCAACGGTTTGAAGTAGGAGTTTCTAAAATTCACGGGTTTGAATCTCCCCACTCTTACTTTTTAATTGAAAATTGGAAAAAATTCTAAAGTTCACAAGTTTGAATCTCAGAGTTAATAAATTTGTGTTTTCTTTAATATTATAGTGTGACCTTTTTGTTAATTTATTTTTAAATAAAATATAAATGTGATTTCATTATGATTGATTATTCGAATTGCAATGATATCATTTACCTTTTATATTTTTATTTTTATAGTGACGCCATTCTTTTTTATTTATTTTTAAGTCAAAAACATTTCAGATGTCATTGTAGTTGTTCTAACCATAAGTTGTGTTATATTTTCTCTTTATTTTTAAATTTTCATCTCCATTAACAAAACAAAACACACGTCATTCTAGAATTAACATGCAAAGCAATCATTATCGTTCTTGCACACTACTATAAAACACACATTTACCTCGAACACGAAGTTGATTTAACCTCGAGTACATAGGCGAGGTAATGAAGGGCGTCATAGTAACTTGTGTTATAACAAGTTTTATTTCTGCAATGATATCTCTGAGTTTTGATGATAACAAATGAGTATATTTGTATGAATAATTTTGATACTCTAATGTTTGTTATGTTTTAGTATTTAACAAACATGTTCTACTTCTGATGGATGGCGTGGCCAAGACATTAGAAGAGAATTAGTTCCGCTTCTGTGCTACACAAGTTCTGATGAACAGTAGCAAGACACTCCAGAAGACTCTGAAGTGTAGACTCTAATATGAAGTATAAAAAAATCAGTCAAAAGATCTGAAGATAGAAATTTCTACTTAAGTTCAGATGTTAAAGACTCATGTTTCTGTAGACAACGTGTTCTAAAAAAATCAATCAGAATATCAGAAGACATAAGTTTCTACTGAAGTCCAGATGCTGAAGACTAATATTTCTGAAGACAGAGGATTCTTAAGATCAAGTGCTGAAGATTCTGATAAACGAAGTTCTAAAGACTTAGAGAGAATATCTAATTCAAGATACAAAAAAACTTTGAGAGTTGAATGGTCATAGTTTTATGATTTGACCATCTTCTAAGCAATTCTCTTAACAACAATTCATCTTTCTTTTCTTGCAAAGATGGCAAAACCTAGTGATAACAAAATCATACTACGTAATAGTTTTAATCTTATTATGAATATAAATGTTAATTTAGCAATGTTTCTCACCGTTGATGTTATTGTTGAGCAATTTGTTAAATTAGGACAGACTTTGATTGAAGTTTTGTTAGAGAAAGAGGCAAACTTTTATAACTTGTTGTTCTGAAAATAAAATACAACCTTGGTCTTTATATAGACCCAAAGATTTCTATTATTCTAATAAAATAATTGCCACTAATAAAAACTATTATAACCTACTACCTCTTGACCTTCTAAATTACATTTGGTTCTTAACCTTCCTACTACCTTATTTAATAAGAAAACCCACTACTAATGACATTAAAGTTTACTCAACAAAACTCCTCTGTAAACTTAAATGTTTCTTTCATCCATCATGCCTGTCATTTTCTTGGCTCTGTAAAATATTTCCTTCGATAATGGTTTTGTTAAGATATTTGCTGCTTAATCCTTACTTGCTACATGCTTCAATTCGACACTTCTTTCCTTCACATGTTCTCGAATAAAGTGGAATAGAACGTCAATGTGTTTCATTCTTTCATGATTCACTGGAATCATTGCCAATTTGATTGCTGATTTATTATCCACTTGTATTATTGTTGCACCTTCCTGTTTTAGCTCCATCTTGCTCATCAATCTTCTAAGCCATACTGCATGAAAAACGCACCAAGATGCTGCCACATATTCAGCTTCACACGTCGAAAGTGTTACTATCGGTTGCTTCTTCAATAACCAAGTAAACTTTAATGTCATTAGTAGTGGGTTTTCTTATTAAATAAGGTAGTAGGAAGGTTAAGAACTAAATGTAATTTGGAAGGTCAAGAGGTAGTAGGTTATAAAAGTTTTTATTAGTAGAAGTTATTTTCTTAGAATAGTAGAAGTCTTTGGGTCTATATAAAGACCAAGATTGTATTTTATTTTTAGAACAACAGGTTATAAAAGTTTGCCTCTTTCTCTAACAAAACTTCAATCGAATTTTGCTCCTGATTTAACAAATTGGTATCAGAGCCAATGGCAAACATGATGAATCAAATGTCGTTGTCATGGCTAACGAAGTCAAATTACGAAAACTAGAATATCCAAATGAAAGCTCATCTTGGATCTCTAGACGTGTGGGATGTGACCAGAGATGGGTTTGAAGAACCAACAAAAATTGGGGGATATGCGGCAGCTCAAAATAAGGTGTTGAAAGAGACACGATCGAAGGATAAAACGACATTATACATGTTGTTCAGGGCTGTAAATGAATCAGGGTTTGAAAAGATTATTGGTTCGACTACATCTAAAGAAGCATGGGACACATTAGAAAAGGTGTTCAAAGGAGCTGATCGAGTGAAGCAAGTTCGACTCCAAACTCTTCGTGGTGAATTGGAGAGGATACAGATGAAGGAGACAAAAATTATATCTGACTACATCACACGTGTGCAAAAGGTGGTGAACCAACTCACAAGAAATGGAGAAAAAATAACTGATGCACGAGTTGTTGAAAAGATCTTGAGATCTTTAACAGACAAATTTGAGAATATTGTGTGTGTAATAGAAGAGTTTAAGGACCTTTCGATGCTCTCAGTCGAAGAGCTCGCTGGTTCTCTTGAAGCACATGAACAATGAAAGATGAAAAAGAAGGAAGAAGAAGTCGAAGAAGAAAATCAAACCAAGGAATCAAAAAAAGGCGAAAAGGTACTCTTTTCTCAAAAATTTCGAGGAAAAAGACATGGACGTGGAGGTCGTGACAGTGGTCGAAGTGGTCGAAGCAGCAACTTTAAAAGAGGACAATCGAACCAACAAAATTGGTGTGGCAGAGGACGTGGTAAAAGAGATAGTCGATCGAACCACTCCAACTTCGAATGCTACAAGTGTGGGAAGTATGATCATTAGACAAAGGATTGAAAATCCTACAAATGTTACAAAGGATTGAAAAGAGATGCATCGAAAGTGAAGGTCGAAGGAAAGGGCACAATCAGTTACTTGCAGAAGGAATGCTTGATTGGATTAATCGAAGATGTTTACTATGTGCCAGATCTCAAGACCAACATATTGAGTTTGAGACAACTTATAGAAAAAGGTGTTTCGATACTTATGAAAGATCAAACACTGCATTTGAAGGACAAAGCAGGACATATGATCGCCTGTGTCGAAATGGAAATAAATCAAATGTACAAACTGAATCTGAGGAATGTTCGAGATAAATGTCTGCAAGTCGAAATGCAAGACAAAGCGTCACTATGGCATATGTGCTTTGGTCATCTACATCATGTTGGTTTGAGAAGGTTGGAAAAAAGGAACATGGTGCATGGACTACCAGACATGGATTATGAAGGAAAGTTTTATGAAGAATGTGTGCTCAACAAACAAACAAGAACCTCATTTCAAAAGAAGACAAAATATCAAGCTAAACATATTATCGAATTGATTCATACTGACATATGTGGGTGTTGTACCCAAAAATTTTCCCTCTCATTTATCAAGTATTTTCTCACAAGATCTCCTTTGGTTCAAGACTGCACAAGGGTTGATCAGCTCAAGACACCTCCTTAAGCACTGATGACTAAAATTAGGGTTTGAGATTGCACAAGGATAATTGAACTTTTAATGCCTCATATGACTTTCATGGATCATTATGGACCCCCAAGATTACTCATGTCAAGTTTCAAGTCATGGATCACATTTTTGCTTAGTCAATTGAGCAGTTAACCTAAAAATCAACTATATTGGAGAAAAAGTCAATTGTGGTTAATTTACAGTCAAACTTTATAATTTTTTATCCATATCAATATTGTGAATTAATATACGTCATTTGATCAAGTTTGGACCATAATTCCTCAAGAAATTTGATCAGATCATCAAAAGGGCAAAATGGTCAAAATTAAGGTTTTGATTGAGAAAGGGAAATTTCTGATTTTTGACCTAGCAAATGGTTAATTGGTTTGACACATGAGATAAAGGTTTCAATTGCATAATTTTTACCTAATGGCATGACTAAAAACATCCCTCAAGATCAATTGATTGATAGTTGATTTTTCAATCAATTGATCAAAAGTCAAGTGTACACTGAAAAGTCAAACTTTGATTTTTTTTGTCAAAATCAAGTGTCAAAGATCACAATTCATCAAAACATGTAAAAATATGAAACTTGTTCATCAAGAAATCAAAAAGTCAAGATTTTATTTTGAAAAGTCAAAGTTTCCAAACTTAGAAAATTTTCTAAGTGTTGAAAACTTCATATTTTTTCACAACTTTGAGCCAATTTTTCACCATGATGCAAGATGATTCAAAGGAAACTTTCAACAAGAAAGTTGTAGATCTCCATGATATCTAAAACATTGCTTTACAAACTTCTCCTATAAATTCTTGGATCTCAAGTTATTAATCCATAAGGTCATGGTCATGAAACTAAAACACTTAGTGAAATTTTGAGCATTTTTGGTCAGGATTT